CTCGTCCAGCCCTGCCGGTGAGCTAAAGTTCTGGGCGAGGTGGGACCACACTCCGGACGCTTCTGCTCTGCCTGGGGACGGAGTCATTTGCCTACAAGTCCTTGCAGCTTCAGGAAGTGAGGTCCGAGTTGGGGAGACAAGAGGAAGCAAGAATGTCTGGGTTGGTAGGTCTGACATGAGATAGCACATTCAAGAGAGAAGTGAGGGGGCATTTGGGGAAAAGAGATTCTGGGGTTTTAGAATTTTATGGCAGATATGAAGTCTAGAATCAAGGCTTGTCTTTAGTGTGGAATTTCCACAGCATTTTTCTTTTCTTGGATTATGACTTACCTGAGGGTATAGCAGCTGACATAGTTTCTCCTTCTAAAGGATGGAAGTGGTTACATCTCTGAAAGTAGGGTCTCATTGCATCTGTACATGAAACAGGGCTACAGAATGTGGGTTTGTTTGCTGGTTGGTTTGGCTGATTGATTGATTTTTGAGGCAGGGTCTTGCTATGTAGTTAAAGCTTGCCTTGAACTCACTGTGTAGCTCAGGCTGGCCTCAAATTCATGGCGATTTGCCTGTCTCAGCCTCCCAAGTGCTGGGATTACAAGTGTGCACCACTACACTCAGCTATATTTCTATTAGTATTTTTAAAAGTTTATTTCAGTCTGAAAATTTGAATCTCTCAATCCCTTACCCCCCGCCATGTTTTAGATTCACAGCAAAGCTTCTCTCAGTGCTCGTGTTCTCTAGGCTCCCACATTTGACAGCTGGTGAGAGCATTCCTTTGGTTGTCAGCAGCTAGCTGGATCACAGTCTGGAAGAAAGAGGAAGATCTTCTTTGTACTGTAGTGATACTGTATGCAACACAGGAAAACTTGTGTTGGTCAGAAAAATAATTCCTGGAGAAACTTCTAGACCATTCAGAACAAGGAGTCTCACTGGTTATTCCATTTTCACTTTTGGGTGAGATGTGCTCAGTGATCTCTAGGAATTGCCGGGTTATCACATCCTATAAAGCTTGATTGTGATATTGATTTTATGTCATTGTTTTGGGCTACGGAGGATCAAGCCTGAGCCTCACACATGCTGGGCAAGTGCTCTGCACCGAGCTACATCTTTAGTCCAGAGTGTGATCCCCGAATCTAAGACCAGACGAGGATGGAACCGGAAGTGTTCAGCCTCAAATTGCCGAAGTAGCCGGGTGAACAGCGTTTTTAGAAATGAGAAGCACGCAGTTAGTATAATACTAGAGTCATTACTTTTAGAATATTTAAACTTGGACAGCTTAAGATCTTAGCCAAAAAGGATATGTTTGATCACTGCATTTGGTGAAATAGCCTAATTAAGATGGGAAGAATTGAAATCAACTTGTTTTAAGCTATGGAAATTGGCAGTTGTAAGAAAAAGGCAGGGCTTTTTTCACTCATTCCTATTTCACAGAGTTATAAGAACTGATGCTGGACGTGGTGGTGCACACCTGTAATCCCAGCACTCAGGAGGCTGAGCAGGAGGATCACTGTGAGTTCAAGGCCAGCCTGGGCTACAAAGTGAGCTCAAGGCCAGCCTGAACTGCAGAGCGAGACCCTGTTTCAAACAACAAAACAAAAAGAACTGAGCTTCACTGGAACAGCCCTGGGAGTACTGGGACTGTCACTTTCTGGGTCTCAGGAAAGCTCCCCATATTCTTCAAATCCACATATCCTTCTTGAATAGAGAACAGGCAACTTAACAATTCTTTTGAGAGATGTGAAGACTGAGGTAGGAGGATTTAGGCTAAGCCTTGCCTAAGGCTACGTAGTGTGGTAGGATCAAGAATAAAATCTACACGGATTATAAACATGGACCTGTTCTGTGCATTGCAAGAAATAACATGGGAGATTTTAATGAATGTTTAAAACTGCACTGTTGAGTACTGAAACCACTAGGAAGGAAACGGTCCTTGAGCATTTGAAATGCAGCCATCCTGATGGAGATATACTGTAATAACATACCAGGCTTCAAAGGTTTGGTAGATAGCACAGAAATGCAAATTTCTAAACACTTTCTGGTTATTAGATATTAAAATAATATGTTGGACATGTTAACACAATATATTATTAAATTAATTCTACCTGTTTGCCTTTACTTTTTTAATGTAACTGCCAGAAAATTTTTTTTTTTTTTGGTTTTTCTCCGGTACCGGGAATCAAACTCACAACCTTGCGCTTGCCAGGCAGGCGCTGTGCCACAGAGCTAAATCCCCAGCCCTGAAAATTGAAAATTATGCATGTGGCTTGCATCTTACTTTTGTTGGTCACTGCCAGTTTGGAAGGTTAATGTGTATACATTCGCAGTTCAGTGGTAGAATTCTGCAGAAGGTTAATGTGACAGAGAGGATTGTGTAAGGTTGGCATTTTAGGTACAGTACTGCAAAGTAAAATAGGTCCCTCCCTCACTTCATTACCTTGTAGGTCTGAATTAAAGCAGAAAGCAATCTGGACTGACAAAGTTGACAACTTTGAATTTAGTATTTTTTGAGAACTTTTTTTTTTTTTTTTTTTGGTACCAGGAATTGAACTGCTGACCTCAGGCTTGCCAGGCAAGTGCTTATGCCACTGAGCTATATGCCTGGCCCTATTTTTTTAAATAATGGGGTGCCAGTAGCACACAAGTGCATCAGTCTTGTAAATAACTGTTCAGAATTTACCAATCTATAGGAAAAAAACTAATTATTTCTATGTTAACTAGACAAAAGCTTATAAAAACTTGTTTGCTTAGAAAAGAGTTGTAACTCAAGATTGTCTTTAGTTATTAATTAAAAATTTAATTGTTTTGTTTACGTATTGAGGTGAAAGTTGTAACATTATTATAGTATTTTGTTTTTATTAGAATTATTAACTTATTAATTGTACAAGTCCATGAGTTTCACTGCGACATTTCCATATATACATGTATCCTGGTTTGATCGTACCCACACTCCCTTGTATCTTTTCTAACCACCTTTCTCTCTCTGTTTTTTTTTTTTTTTTTTTTTTTTTTGGTTTTTTGAGAAAGGGTCTCACGATGTAGCCCAGGCTGACCTTGAACTATTAGGGATCCTCCTGCCTCAGCCTTCCAAGTGCCTGGATTACAGATGTACACCACCACTCCCAGCTCTGACCTTCTCTTTCTTCCCAGTCTCTCTCCATCTCCTTTCCACTCCCCAGGAGTCCCTCTTCTGCTCTCAAGTCCTCTTTTATCTTGATTAATGTCCACGTATGAAAGAAAACATCCAGTATTTATCTTTCTCTGGCCTGTTTTGCTTAACATGCTGTTCTCCCCTTGTACCGATTTTCCTGCAAATGACGTGATTTCACCCTCTTTATGGCGAGTACTCCATGTGTGTGCACCATGTTTTCTTGATCCATTCATCTGTCAGCCTAGGCTGACATTGATTTGAGTTATTGTGAATGGTGCAGCAGTGAACATGGGCTATACGGTACCTGTTGTATGCTGGCCTCATTTTCTTCAAATACTCAGGTAGAATAGCTAGATCACACGGTGATTCCAGTTTTACTCTTTTGAGGCACTTCCATAATGTTTTGCATAGTGGCTGAACTGCTCTACATTCCCACCGTGAGGATTTCTTTTTCAGCACATTCTTACCAACATTTTTTTTGTGTGGTTCTGGAATTGAACTCGGCACTCTACCACTGAGCTACAACTCCAGCCTCCCCCCTTTTTTAATAACAGCCATTCAGACTTGAGTGAGATGGAATTTCACTGTATTTTGATTTGCATTTCCCTGATGGATAAAACTGTACATCAGGAGGTGCTGGAGAAACTGTCTTTCTACATGTTGAAGACTAAAGCTAGACCCATGTCTATCACCATGCACCAAAATAAAGTCAAAATGGCTTAAATATCTAAATATTAAAACAGAAACACTAGATTTATTGGAAGAGAAAGTAGGTGGAAGTCTTGAAGACATAGGGGTAAGTAGAGAGTTCATGAACAAAAACCAAACTGCATGGGAAATACTTCAAAGAATCAACAACTGTGATACTGTAATTTTCTAAGCACCATTCACAGGGTAGCAAAATTATGTTTATTTACTAATTCTGATCAGAAAAATAAGCCAGGAACATTGATGGTATTCATTAGATTTTAACTGAATGAAGCAGTTCCTTCTAATCACGACTGTATAGTAAGGATAAAACACTAATTTAATGTGTATTCATTTTCAATTGTTATGTACTTTTACGTTGCCAAGAAAAATAAACTGTTTTGTATATTTGGAAAAAAAAAAAAAAAAAAAGAACAACTGGGACCTCATCTTATTGAAAAGTTTTTGCACATCAAAAGAAATCACCAACAGGGTGAAAAGAAAACCCACGAATTGGGAAAAAATTTAGCCAACTGTCCCTCAGACAAAGGACTGCTGTCTAGAACATGTAAAGAATTAAAAATATCAGGCCCCCAAAATTCAAAGACCCCCAATACAAAAATGTGCATCTGAGATGAATATACACTTCTCACATGAAGATATACAGATGGCAAATAAATACCCGAAAAAATTTTCAACATCATTAGTCATTGAAGAAATGCAAATTAGAACAACACTGAGCATCTAACCCCAGAAAGAATGGCTATCACCAAGGAATCATCCCATAACAAATGCTGGAGGGGCTGTGGGGAGAAAGAACTCTTCTCTGCTGCTGGTGGGAGTGTAGACTGGGCGCAACCACTGTGGAAGTCAGTCTGGAGAGTTCTCAGTAAACTGGGTTCCATTCAACCCGGCTATTCCCCTTCTGGGTATTTTTTCCAGAAGAACTGAAAACATCATACCACAGCGAAATATGTGCACCCATGTTTATGGCAGCACAACTTGTCATAGCTAAATCTTGGAAACAACCCAAATGTCCATCAACTGAGGAATGGATAAAAAAGACGTGGTACTTTTATATAATGGAGTATTACTCAGCTATAAAGAAACATAAAAGAGAGGCTTTTATAGGTAAATGGATGCAACTGAGACCATACTCATAAGTGAAATAAATCAGATTCACATGTGTAAATATTGTATTTCTTCCCTATTCTACTATAAGAACCTGAAAGAGTAAATAGAATCTGAAAGCTACAATAGATATTGTGAAAGGGAAAAGAAACTGCTCAAATGGGGGGAGCAACTGGGATGAAGGAGGGAAGAGGAAAAAGAAAAAAGGAAGAGGTAAAAAATATGTATATGTATACACAGGATAGCTAGGATAATTGTACTATTAATATCTGTTGGTTTATTGAAAGGACTGTTAATGTGTAATTGTTTGATCAATCTTACATACCTATACCTGGTTATATGTGCAACCAGTTTGAAGATAACATTAAGTAATATAACAACCATTGTTAATATTCTATCACTTTGTTTTGAAATTCTGTATCATTTTTATTGTTCTCTGCTGTTTTGTTTATGTGTTTGTTTTTGTTATTTTGGGTTTTTTCTTTTCTCTTTAAGATGGAAAACAAAATTTATATGTATATACAAGGATAGTTGGGATAGGTATATTTCTTTTTATTTATTTATTTATTTG